CTTTTACAGTTATAAACAGCTTTTAAACGTGAAGCATAGCTTGACACAAGTGTCTTGCAGCGATCTACGGGTATCTTCGCCCATTCTTCATGGGCAAAGGCCTCCAGTTCAGTCACATTCTTAGGCTTGCGCACTGCAACTGCTTTCTTTAAGTCCCACCAGAGGTTCTCAATCGGATTTAAGTCTGGTGACTGCGATGGCCACTCCAAAATGTTCCAGCCTTTCCTCTGCAACCATGCTCTAGTGGACTTGGAGGTATGCTTGGGATCATTGTCCTGTTGAAAGGTCCAACGTCTCCCAAGCCTCAGGTGTGTGACGGACTGCATCACGTTTCCATCCAATATCTCCTGGTACTGAAGAGAATTCATGGTACCTTGCACACGCTGAAGCTTCCCTGTACCTGCAGAAGCAAAACAGCCCCAAAGCATGATTGACCCTCCACCATGCTTCACAGTAGGCAAGGTGTTCTTTTCATCATAGGCCTTGTTCTTCCTCCTCCAAACATAGCGTTGATCCATGGGCCCAAACAGTTCTAATTTTGTTTCATCAGTCCACAGAACACTATCCCACAACTTTTGTGGTTTGTCCACATGGCTTTTGGCATACTGCAGTCGACTCTTCTTATTCTTTGGAGACAGCAAGGGGGTACGCCTGGGAGTTCTGGCACGGAGGCCTTCATTACGCAGTGTGCGTCTTATTGTCTGGGCTGAAACTTCTGTACCCACATCTGACAAATCTTTTCTCAGTTCCTCAGCAGTCACACGGGGACTTCTCTCCACTCTACGCTTCAGGTAGCGCACAGCAGTCGAAGTCAGCATCTTCTTTCTGCCACGACCAGGTAGCGTTTCAACAGTGCCCTTTGCCTTGAATTTGCGAATGATGCTTCCTAAGGTGTCTCTTGGTATGTTTAACATCTTTGCAATCTTCTTATAGCCATTGCCCTTCCTGTGAAGAGAAATCACCTCTTCTCTTGTCTTCCTGGACCATTCTCTTGCCTTCACCATGTTTGTAACCACACCAGTAAATGTCTAGAAGGAGCTGAGTATCACAGTCATTTTAAAGCTGCCTAATTGGTGCTTATTATGCTTGATTGCTGCTCGGTGACATCCACAGGTGTTTTCAATACCTGATGGAAAGCACCTGTATGAACCTCTGTTCTTCAGAGTGGTAGTCTTTAAGGGGTTGAATAATTGTGGCAATGAAAAACCCACATAAGAACCATTTACTACTGTATTACATAAACAATTGATGTCATTTTAGTTGCATTTTGGGTAGTTACAACGTCCTTGTAGGATTTGATTCTGAATACAATTCCAAATGTACACTATAGTCCCTAAACCCCTTTACAGCATTGGGGGTTGAATAATTTTGGCCACAACTGTATCTGACCAGAATGGAGTAATTTGTGGACATTCCCACCATATATGGTACAAGGATCCTTGTTGGCTACAGTTCCTCCAGCATAATGAGGAGTAGCGGTTGGATGAATGTGCTGCCAAATGTTGTGGAGTTATGTCCCATCTGTGTAATATCTCTTGGGCTGATTCCCAATGGTTAATGCATCTGGTAGTTTTCCTAGTCCAGTTTCCTGTTTGCCATTGTTGAATCTGGAATTGTTTCCCAATGTCTCGTTCCCATTTATGCATCGTTGGTAATTTTCCTTGGTGACGATGTTGAAGAAGGATATTATATATGAATGAGATACCTCGTTTGTGAGAATCTATTCTTTCATAAAAGTTGGTCAAAGATCTGAGGAGAGAATCTTCTTGGTATTCCAGGTTGCGTAATGCATGATGAATTCTTAGATATTTGAAAAAGTCCTTATGCGTAATTTTGTATGTTTCAGAAAGTTGTTGAAATGTTTGTAGGGTACCATTGGCATATAGTTGGGCAAGATTTTGAAGGCCTGCTTTTGACCAGGATTTAAGTTCAGGTGTCATCGATGATATGGAGAGTAGAGGAATGAATCCATTAATTGTAGGGTGATATCCCTTTGAGGTTCGTAGAATAGACACCCAGGTGCGGAGAGTCACATTGATTGTGTCTAGGCAGTATCTTGGGGCTCTATGGGTGAGAGTAAGAGCTCCCAATGTGGCTTGAGTGTCACTATGGATAAGGGACTGTTCGATCTGTACCCATCATTTGTCTATTTGAGGTGTCCACCAATGCTGTGTCTGATCCAACACTATTGCTTTATGGTATAATTGTAGATTGGGGGCTCCCATACCTAAATTTGATCGAGAAGTGTATAGTGTCAATTTGTTGACCCGTGCCTTTTTGGTTTCACAGATGTAAGTGTTTAATAGTGATTGTAGTTTTTGTATGGATGAAGATAGTAATGGTATTGGGATGGCTCGAAAGAAATATAAAATGTGTGGTAAGATAAACATTTTTACAATAGTAATTTGCCCAACCCATGAAATAGTGGTGTTGGAGAACTCTTTACATAGTTCTGTTATTTTAATGAGTAGAGGTTTTACCTTTTATCTTCTAGCTGCTTTTACATTCCTTTTGCGCTCGTAATCACTCTCAATATAACTTTATGACCACCTACCGAATATTGAGTGGCCCCTTTTTCTGCCAAAACAGCCCTGACCCATCAAGGCATGGACTCCACTAGACCTCTGAAGGTATGCTGTGGTATCTGGCACCAAGCCGTCAGTAGCAGATCCCTTAAGTCCTGTAAGTTGTGAGGTGGGGCTTCCAAGGATCAGATCTGTTTTTCCAGCACATTCCACAAATGCTCCATTGGATTGAGATCTGGAGAATTTGGAGGCCAGGTGAACATCTTCAACTCCTGTTTTGTCAAACCATTGTTTCTGAAGTAGGCAGATGATCAGGGCACAATGATTAGCTGCTTATTTGGAGTCACCCAGCTAGGCCTCTGTAGTATTTATTGGTTAGCAATGTGTTAAGAAAATCTTCCTGTTCCCTTCTTATTCCTTGGAGCACCCCTGCTCCAAAAAATTTGTACCCTTTTTAGGTGTCTTCGGTCCAGTCTGACAATATCTTGAATACTCTTTACCCTGTTTTTCCACTGTTTGAGATGTCAGAGCTAACACATAGCTAAGGCTACCTTTCCCCTACCCCCATATGACAGTGCCCAGGCTGGCAATTGGCTACTCAGGTGCAATGTACTGCAGGAGGAAGAAAGAAAAGCAAAGGTAGAAGAAGAGAAAAATCATTTTCTGTTTATTCTTTTTTGAGCCCCATAATTGGGGGGTGTGCTAAAGGATGTCACCGTTTCCCATGTCAGAAAGTTGGGAGGAATGTGGTAATGCATATACTTTATGACCTAGAAAACCAAGCATGGCCTAAGACATCTTTGAAGTGGAACATTGGTTTCTGTACACTGCACTAGAGTGCAGGTGGTTGTTCATCTGTTCATAACTTTATTACCACCCACCTAATATTGAGTGGCCCCTTTTTCTGCCAAAACAGCCCTGACTTATCAAGGCATGGACTCCACTAGACCTCTGAAGGTATGCTGTGATAACTGGCACGAAGCCGTCAGTAGCCGACACTTTTAAATCCTGTAAGTTGCGAGGTAGGGCCTCCATGGATCAGACTTGTTTTTCCAGCACATTCCACAGATGATCCATTGGATTGAGATCTGGAAAATTTGGAGGCAGAGTGAACATCTTGATCTCGTTGTGTTTGTCAAACCATTCTTTCTGAAGTAGACAGCATGATCAGGACACAATGATTAGCTGCTTATTGGAGTCACCCAGCTAGGCCTTTGTAGTATTTATTGGTTAGCAAGGTGTTAACAAAATCTTCCTGTTCCCTCCTCGTTCTTTGGAGCACCCTTGCTCCAAAAAAATTACTATATACCCTTTTTAGGTGTCTTTGGTCCAGTCTGGCAATATTATGAGTACTCTTTACCCTGTTTGAGGCATATCAGAGCTTACACATAGCTAAAGCTACCGTTCCCCCCATCCCATGACAGTGCTCAGGCTGGCAATTGGCTACTCGGGTGCAATGTACTGCAGGAGGAAGAAAGAAAAGCAAAGGTAGAAGAAGGAAAATAGTATATTACTTTGCCCTGAATTGACATGTTCCCCAGCACACTTGCCAGCAAACCAGCAAAAAAAAAAAAAAAAGCCACAAAGTACACCAAAACGTTTGTGTTAAAACAGAGGTTTTATTTGCACAGCATTACAACATTTGCAAACATATGTTGAAGTCTCATTGCTTCCTCAAGGCCCCTCTGCATAATGTGGTCCTAACTGTAGTCCAAGGCAGGCTGGCCATCAGTTTTTCTTTCATTCAGACAGAAATGGAGGTGGATGAGGGGATCCCCACCCCCGCCATTAAAATAGACTGATCAGCACTGCAGCCTAAAAAACAATCAAACATACAGACAGGGCAGTTGAACAGAAATCGTTCATTAGATCAAATTTGTTCAACCACAGTGGCCACACATGGATGGAAAACTGGCTGGTCCTTGCTGAACCAGCCAAATTTCCATCCATGTATGGCCAGCTTTTTTAATTGTCTCCATGCTGGAGCTTTAATAGCAATAGACAAGTTAAGGGTGGATATGCCTGGTGGTAGCCCATTCCTCTAGAGGAAACACCAGAAGCCCAGCACAGCACAACATCAAGAAGACCAGTGTGTTCCCATACCATGTGACATCTTTGTTTTAAAGAGAGAAAGAGAGAGAAAAGGGCCAACAATATATTTGGACTTCATGGAAGTCCATGTGGTGACCATTTTCTTTTTCAACCTACTTTTCCCCCTATTTTCTCTGCTTTGCAGTTCTTTCATTTCAGGAAGCAGTCCCTTTAAAAACCCCTTCCAGCTTACCTGGCTCATGCCTTCTACTTGTGCCAGTCTGGAAAGTTCTTTGGCTCCCTATAAAAAGATCTTCTTGGTGGCTGTGCGTTACTCAGCAAGACTTCAACACCGATAACCCTCCCTTGTCATGGCATGTTGTATATCAGGGCTTAAAATTTCAAGTCCTGAGCTACTAACCAGGCCTTAAGAGTTACTCACCACCAACAAACACACACAAACAGAGACACCTGTGTACACACACACAGACATGTACATACACACACACAGAAACATGTACACACACGCACAGAGACACATGTACGCACACACACACACACACACACATACAGACACATGTATACACACACAGGCACGTACAGACACGCATACATACAGATACATGTACATACACAGAAATACACACGCACAGACACATGTACATACATACACAGGGACATGTACACACAGACACATGTACATACATACACACAAAAACGTACATACACACAGACACATGTACACACACATACATGTACATACACGCAGACACATGTACAGATACACACATGTACATACACACAGACACTTGTACATGCATACACAGACACACACAAACACACACACATGTACACACACACACCCCTATAAATAGTTGCAGTACTTTGTTGTTCACTCACAGAGCCGGGTACTGCACTCTAGGGGGAGGCAGAGAGCACAGCACACACTCCTTCCTTTGCTTTCACTGCGCTCAGCTATTGAGCAGTTTGACGACTCCCAGTGACAATGACAGATCCAGCCTGGGCTCCGAGCCTGCTCAGCAAGACGGCCCTGGGGAACACACTCGCTCCCACCATAATTTCCACTCACCATTGGCGAGCAGGCGAGTGGAAATTTCAAGGCCTGTTGTATATAATCTGTCACTCTTTGTTTAAGGAAGGGAATACGTTTTGGAGAGTTTACGCTATTTTATTGCTGAGTGTGAGCACTTTGTGTTTTACTATTTATGGCCATTAATAATTTAGTTAATAATTTAGCGGCCTATGTGTTTTTATCTGCTTGTTGTATTAAATTGGTTTATTCGATGCCTGCAATTCTAGGAATGTTCAAAACTATGCATGCTTGCAAATCTATGCTACCACTGCTTTATTATATGCATTTCACCTTGCAGAGTCTGTTCTATTAATTCCCCTAGTTATTATTAGCAGTTAATGAAGGTAGCGATATCATCGCTTTCATTCTTTGCCAGGAATCAGAGGGTGTAATAGGGTAGTTCTTTGTCCCTCTTTTCCTAATCTTAGTTATTATAAAATTTTGCCATCACAATGCCAGTTCATGCCCGTCTCTTAAAAACATGGAGCCTATTCTTTTCGCACACCATACTGGAAACAGCCATGTGGTGCATAGGGTGCTACAACGACTCCCGACTGGTCATGGTGTAGAACATAAATAAAATGTCCATTAGTACACCAACAAGCTTGTCTCCAACTTCAAAGCTTTTTTTTTTTTGTAGGATCACATAGAAAAGCAACTTTTCAGAAGCGGGCAGGGACTCTTCTTCAGACATGTGAAACAAGCTTAGAGAGCTCTCAACATACAGTCCTTTTTTTCATGCACATCTCTGACACAATTCTGGAAAGAGGGAAAACAGTGGTCCACAACAAAATGAAAAAAAGCTGTTTTTTTCTCCTCCCCAAAATAGGGGCAGCAAGGTACCTGCACAACAAGCTCTGTCTTAAAATCATCATTGCAGTCTTTAGAAAAATGGCGGCCATGTCTAAAGCTAGCCATAGATAACTCTTTTTTTTTTCCCAATTATCATGTAGGCAGGTGCCATCTACAGTTTCCACTGCAGGTGATGCTCGTCTGAAGTGGCATTGCCACTGGAAGAGGAAGTCAAGAGAAACTGGGTTTCTCTATGGTTTCCTCAGTTCCCTGGAGCAATGATCTGGTTTGATGCGTTGAATCCAGGTGACCCTGGTGGCCATCTTGGGTGATCCAAAGTCTTTTTTAAGTCTCTACCCCCAGGTTTTGGCAAGGTTTGTGTGAGAGGCTAGTGTAGGGACAGGATGCCAGTCTGTCAGGCATGGCACTAGTGGTATGGAAAGCTTCATGAGCAGTAGAGAGAGAGTAGGGCCTACATCTCCTTGTTTAAGCAAGTTCTCCTTTGGATTGGACCGGCCAGGCCGCACTTCATTCCCCTTGGCAGGCACTTTCCTCAGCTTGGGCCTATTCACCACTCATTCTTCTCTGAACTGTCGTAAATGTCCTGGTCGGTTATGCCTCACTGCCGGGATTGTTGTACTGCTTTGCAATACATAGTTTCTGACCATCCGGGACTGTGTGTTTACTGCCACCACACCACGCTGCACCTACCCAACAAGCCACAAGGCTGATCAGAAAAAAAATGGATTCCTCCATCCACCACGCTTGTGTGGATGGAGGAATCCATTAATTTTTTTTTTTTTTTGATCAGCCTTGTGGCTTGTGAATGGAGTAATCCTCCCCAATGAGATATTGTATTCTGACAGTGGGGCTCTTCTGCTGTCAGAATACACTGGACTGAGCCTCTTACTGAAGTTTTTCAACAATCCTGTTTAACAGAAGCCAATCTAACAATTGAATTCTGTTGAATGGGGACAGGCATACATGGATTGAAATTCAGCCACTCCCTGCTGAACTGGCTACATTTTGATCCACCTATGGCCAGCTTTACCGTACAACCTCCTGAGCACATCCAGCTTCCTTAGCATTTTTGGAGAGCAGAAAAATGTTCTGATCTTCTACAGAATGGTGGCCATTAATGCAGTCTGCAGTGTCTTACGTACAGTTTTTCTGCTCTCTACATTTTGAAGAGAAGACAAATTTACAGACTCGCTCAGGGCTGCCATTAGAAATCATAGGGCCCTGTACAGCCTACATGAAAGGGCCCTCCCCCCAGCCTGGGGGCTGCCATTAGAAATCATGGGGCCCCATACAGCCTACCTGAAAGGGCCCTCCCCCCAGCCTGGGGGTTGCCATTAGAAATCATGGGGGCCCCATACAGCCTAGATGAAAGGGCCCTCCACCCAGCATGGGGGCTGCCATTACAAATCATGGGCCCCCATACAGCCTACCTGAAAGGGCCCTCTCCCCTCACCTGGGTATTGCCATTAGAAATCATAAAGCCTGTATGATGTGACCCAACAGTTTATGTGGATAGGCAGGCAGCCCATGATACATTATGGGGACATAGCCGCAGGTCCACAGGCGTGTGGGTGCAGGTGTACGACTCTGATTAGAGACAATGTGCATTTGGGGCTGCTTACACACATCTTTCAAATTAGAACCTGTGTTTGTACAGCCACTTTCAGTCATTTACTGGCAAATGACAGGCCATACATCAGGGGTGCTCAATCTTTTGAAGAGTGAGGGCCACTTAAGTGATTTGTTAACTGGTTGCAGGCCACAATAAAATTTAAATGGTTCAGAGATTTTCTTTATAGCATATTGAAAATTTTCCTCCTGCAGCCACTGAATGCCAGCGAGTGGGAGAGGAGGAGAAGCTGTATTTCAGCAGTTGCAGGATGAAAATGGAGAGGATCACCCTTCCTGTCAAAGTACAAAACAGAATGTGACAGGGAGGGCACACAGGGCCCCCTGGACCATGGAATCGGGTTACAATTGCAACGCCTGATGGTACACCAATGGTTGGGGGGGAAGTGTATGGCAGGGGCGGACTGACCATTTGGAAACTCGGGCACTGCCTGAGGGCCCGGCGTCAGTAGGGGGCCCCATGAGATGCCCCTGGTACCTTTTTCATAGGCTTTTTTGAGTTTGGGCAAGGACACAGGGGCCCCATGATCCCCTATTGCCCGGGGGCCCCATGAGTTGTCAGTCCGCCCCTGGTGTATGGTAAAAACGCATCTCAACTATGGGGTTTTACTTCCCCCCAAACTGCAAAACTAAATAAGCTCTTGTTTTTCTGAGGCTGCTTTCACACTGATGTGCGGCTGTTTACCTGCAACGCGAGTGAAGCAGTGTACCTGTGGATTTCCTGCTGCACTTTGCCATAGACTTCTATTATATCTTGCAGGTGTGGTGCACTTTCTGTAAGCGCCCCAAACCTGCAGGATATAATAGAAGTGCCCTGATGATCAGTGCCACCCATTAGTACTGCCCAGCAGTTGCACCCAACAGTGCCAATCAGTGCCCATCATTGCTGCATATCAGTGCAGCAGCATCAGTGCCACCTCATCAATGCCCCACCAGTGCTACATCATCAGTGCCACCTCATCTGTATCAATCTGTGCTTCCTATCAGTGCAGCCTCATCAACGTACATCAGTGAAGGAGAAAAATTACCTGTTTGCAAAATTTTATAATAGTAAGAAAGAAAAACTTTTTTTTTTTTTCCACATTTTTTTGCTCTTTTTTTGTTCAAAAAATAAAACACCCAGTGGCGATTTAATACCACCAAAAGAAAGCTCTATTTGTGTGAAATTTTTTTTAAAAAATGTCATATGGGTACAGTGTTGCATGACCGCGCAATTGTCAAAGTGCAACAGTGCTGAAAGGTGAAAATGGCCTGGGCACGAATGGGGTAAAAGTGCCCAGTAGGCAAGTGGTTAAAGGAGAATTCTACAAAAAAAGTTGTTGATTAAACCCCCAAGTGTTTTTTTTTTTTTTTTTACCACTACTAATTCCTATATTTATATTAGGCTGGAAAGTTACAATTGCAGCAATGGATGAAAAATGTTAGCACTGTAAAACACTTTTTGTTAAATAGTGCATTTTATATAGAACTATATAGATCAAAATGAGGGACATATGAGAAGGAAAGAGGGACAGAGGGACTTTGTTCCAAATTGGGGACAGTCCCTCGAAATCAGGGAAAGTCCCTTGAAATTGGGGACAGTTGGGAGCGATGGTAATATTGTAGTATTAATGACAACAGACTCCAGTGCTAATTGTATAGTACAACATACAAATGTGCACACCATAAACTATAAATAAATAAAATGGTACACTCCACCCAAAACTGAATTGACGCTCAAAAATAATAGATGTATCAATTGCCACACCCCAAATAGAATCAAACTAAATAGGTGTCTAGAATAATAAGAACATAATTGATATGCATCAAATGCTCCACTTTAGATCAAACAAACCAAAATACCCAAAGGACGGAGTTCATGAAGAGAGATTACAATGATGTAGAATGTAGGGAGAAGGATCCACCAGAGCCTTCCCACAAGACTTTGCCCATGCATTGTTAAGCAACAGCAAGCCACCCCAGATCTCGTACACCAGATATGGCACAATGCCAACGGTGGGCTGGCCCAGAATAAGGAAGAAGAAGCCAGCCACCAATGACATTATTTTTCAAAACGACAGCGCAGGATGCAGAGCCAAGGCAAGTCGAACCTGTACCAACGGGGCAAGCAAATAAAAAAAGTTCCTATTTTTGAGCTTACTGATTTTCAAAATACTAGTTATGGGCTTGATGTTCGAGTCGGACGTAAGTTTATCCGCCACGCCCCACAATGCACTGTGCTCTGACTGCAATTGGTAAAAGCAAAGCATGCAATCAATGCTTTAGCCAATCACAGTACAACCTGCATACCCCGGTTGATGAGGTCACAAGGGGGCAGGCTTTTTCTTTTTTTCTTTTTTCGGGTCGGCAGTGGCGGTGGGCATTGTCTTTGACGTTGGATCTACTTCAGGGGACATTTTTTATTTTTGTTTTTAATAAAAGACTTGTCAAAGACTGTCTACTGTCATTTTTTTACACACACTTTTTTTTATTTGTGAAAGAGTAGTGGTACCATGTACCCCATACTCATTCACATGGGAGGGGGGCCAGGATCTGGGGGCCCCCTTGTTGAAGGGGACTTCCAGATTCCAATAAGCCCCCCCGCACGCAGACCCCCACAACCATCAACCACAGTTGTGGAGAAGCAGCCCTTGTCCCCATCAATATGGAGACAAGGTGGTTTGGGGGGGGAGCCCCCCACCCCCATGTTGAGGACACGTAGCCTGGTATGCTCATTCCCCCCTCCCCTTTCCTGACCTGCCGGGCTGCATGCTAGGATAAGGGTCTGGTATGGATTTTGGGGGGAACCCCACGCCATTTTTTTAAAATTTGGAGTGGGGGTTCCCCTCAAAACCCATACTAGACCCAAAGGGCTTGGTATGGATGTAGGGGGGACCCCACGTGGTTTTTGTTTTTTCATTTTTGAGAAGGGGTTCCCCTTTAAAACCCATACCAGACCTGAAGGGCTTAGTATGGTTGGGAGGGGGGACCCCATGCCGTTTCTTTGTTTATTTTTTAATTCAGAGAATGCAGCTGACAGTTGAAACATTACCCTATGGTTTTCACTATTAAGATACCGCATGACTTGGGGTCAGTTCACACTATAGAAACGCAGTCCAGATGTGTTCCAGAAATGTTTTTGCATGCGCGTTTTGGCTCATTCCAGTGCATTTCTGATGCGTTATTGACACGTTCCTGTGTGTTTTTGATGCGTTCCAGTTCATTTTTCACCTCTCTTTTTCAATTTAAATAGGGAAATGTGCATTCCAGTGCGTTTTTAGTGCGTTTGGAGTGTTCTAGTGCATATTCATTTGTACAGTTCTGTACAGGAAAAATGCAGCCTGTTCTTTTTTTTTTTCTGCATTTGGAATGCACTGGAACTGCAAGCACTGATGTGAACTATGACATTGACAACCATATATCAAAATAAATGTGGTAGAATCCTCAAAGTGCCCCACACAACCCCGTAATTCCAAATAGAAACAACTCTCCACCCCAGAAAGTTATAAACATCAAAATATTTTTCTAAAAAGAATCATCCAACCCACCACTAGTGAAAAGATCCCCTGTTCAAACAATATATTACCATGTGCTTTTCAAATAATAAGTGTCCAACCACATATAATCATACACACTATATCCAAAAGTGTCCAGTGTCTTATAGTCCAAAAAACATAAAAATAAATACGTCCCACTTGAAATCACTTCTTCGTACTGTTGAAGATCCTCAAAGGCCAGCTTCCACAGAGACCCTCAAAGAAATCAAAAACTCAACATAGTGCATTACCTTAATCACCTAATATATAACACTCCACACGTGTATTTAAAATATATAGGTGCAGAAAAACCGTGAGAAAAGAAATAACAACTGCAACTTGTGCCAAAACAGTGATGTATTCCACTCAGTGTAATCACTTCAATAGTGTATCACTTCTAATGCTTCTGGCATATATACCCTTACCAGAAAGAAATAAGAAAACCGCTGTAAGGTACAGTATAGAGAAGTCCACAACACTACTCAGCCTCCTTGTCTCCACTCCTGACTTTATAGTAGTATTCTCATCCCCTCGTGGTATCACAGCCAGTTCCCCGGTCATTCGGATTCATGCAGGGTGTGTATGAGACAGTAATAGTGTAAGACCGTAACATACCATGGAATAAGCTTTAATGAATCTGCTTACATGTATACAATAAAATTAGCGCAATTTGGAAAAGACCCCACAGTCTAGGGATTACCAAGCAGCTTCTGGGTGGATATCCATGCGATTCCCAACTCCAAGATGTTCTAGTGCATATTCATTTGTACAGTTCTGTACAGGAAAAATGCAGCCTGTTCTTTTTTTTTTTTTTTTTTTTTTCTGCATCCGGAACGCACTGGAACTGCAAGCACTGATGTGAACTATGACATTGACAACCATATAACCTACTTTCTGTGCGTTTTGGCTGCAGAAAAAAAGCAACTGAAATGCTTTTTTTTTAGTGGATACCAACTTTTTTTTTGGAAAAACACTGTGTGGTATCTTACCACATACTTGGAACCTGCTTAGTGAATTGTCCCCTGGGATGCAGTTCGGAGTCAAACTTTTGTTAGGTTTGAACGTTCGACTGTGAACCAGGGTCAGACTGCCAACTCATGGGGCCTCCAGGCAATAGGGGATCATGGGGCCCCTGTGTCCTTGCCCAAACTCAAGAAAGCCTATGAAAAAGGCACCAGGGGCATCTCATGGGGCCCCCTACTGACCCCGGGCCCTCGGGCAGTGCCGAGTTTCCAAATGGTCAGTCCGCCCCTGCTGTGAACCAAACACGGGGTGTTCAGCCCATCACTACTAAATACATGTATTTATCATGTAACAGCTTGCCATCTGCCCTATAGCAGAAGTACTGCTACAGGGCGGCACGTGTGCGCAAAATCACGTGTGTGTGTGTGTATGTATGTATGTGATTTTGTAGTTCCGGGTAGGGGGCACGCGTGAGCCCTATCCGAGCCACCATCCGCGGCCTCGGCTGTCAATCACCAGGTCCTGGTCAGTGATTACTCGTCGGTGCCTGATGATTGCCGAGCATCTCTGACGGGGGAGGGGAGGACGATTTGTAAACAATTCAGTTCTCTTCCCTGTCAGCTTCTGCACACTGCTTTGCATGGCTGTGCATAGCAGAGCCATGCAAAGCAGTGTGCTTACAGTGAAGCACACACATAGCCCACTATGTAAGACACCACACAGTTAACCTTTTGATCGCCCCACATGTTAAACCCTTCCTGCCCAGTGCCATTAGTACAGTGTCAGTGCTTTTTATTAGCACTGATCACTGTATTGGTGTCACTGGGGATGTCAGTGACACCAATTCAGTCCCCCCCCCCAGTGTCAGAATGCCCGCCACAGTCCCACTATAAGTCATTGATTGCCGCCATTACTAATTTAAAAACAAAAAAACAAAAACATCATTTATAAATGCTATAACTTTCACGCAAATCAATTAATATATACATATTGGGATTTTTTTTTTAGGAAAGACACGTAGCAGAATATATTTTGGCCTAAATTTATGACAAAATTTTTTTTTTTTTTAAATTACTTTACTGGACATGTTTAATAGCAAAAAGTCAAAAATATTGTTTTTGTCTCAAAATTGTCGGTCTTTTTTTTTTTTTTTTTTTTTTTGCAATCTATACATGATTCATCTCTACATCTTCATTGGAATATCATCTCTGATGACACCGCCTTATTTTGTATCGTAACTTAAATGTCTATTTTAATATTGCAAAAATAAAGAATTGCAGATTTTTTTAAAGTGATTGAATTGTCAAGTTTATCATTTGATAGAATTGTGCCACTAAAGTCCCACCAATAAGAGGACCTTTTCACTGTATCTTTCAGGGATGATGGCACCCCTTGTATCATACCCCTTTCTCTCTTGTCTCAAATTGTTTGGGGGGTTTTTTTTAT